TTTCTTTAAAGGGTTCTATAGGGTTTTTAGGGTTTAGGGTTTAGTTATAAGTAGGGTTATAAGTAGGGTAACTGTAGTTATAACCTTTATTAGCGGACTTATAACCCCACTAAGAAACTACCCATGAACCTCCAAGTGGATGTGCCCCAGTGCGGGGTTCAGGGGTTAGGTTTTGGTGTTCAGGGTCCTTGTCAAGGTTTGCGGGTTCAGGTTGAGGGTTCGGCTGGCAAGAAGCCGGCAGTCTCTGTAGATGCCTGAACTCTCGATGGATTATTGATTATTCCTATAGGATGTTAACAGTAGCTCTAACCCCAATTAACGTACGTAGAACCTGGAGCATTAGCTACATCAATCCGATGTGGTATAAGAAGCAGTCATCGGTTGCTGTCGTCATCGTACTGGGGTCTCCGGCGTAAAGACAGTTTTTTGATCAAGGCCCCAAAACAGAGTTCTGCGCGTTTGGGATAGGGAGCTCAGGGTAGTGGGGTTCTGGATTCAGGGTTTAGGGTTCTGGGTTCAGGGTTTAAGCGGTTCGGTTCAGGATGCTCGGTGCTTGCTCGGCTTTAGTTGACTACTGGCCGATCAGCGAAGCGTCGCCCTCTCCCTCACTCAACCCCAAAACCCCAAAGCCCTTGTTTGGAGCCCCCCAAAACCCTGCAATGCAGAGCTTAGATGTCAACAGAGTGCAGGGGCTTTTCGGCGATGAGCTTTAACTTAGCGCTTGAATAACGTGCATTCTCTGCGAATTTTTGGGTCTGGGTTTGTTGATCTCGGGTTTTGGATGTCAGTCTTCGCCAGGCGCACATGGACCGCGTGAAGCCTCTTGCCCGGCCTTCATCTCGAGTTTCGAAGATAGCGGACCCCAGTAGACCCCGGATGGCGGGATCCGAATTCGGAATGCCTACGCGAGAGCCTTTAAGGGTGCTTATAAGTACAGCCTTTCCTCATCACTGCATAAGTTGAGCAATACACCAGAAATCTTCGTCTGATTCTTCGTCGAGCTAGGTGCCTGAACCCTAAACCTTAAACCCTAACCACAGCACCCTCCGAGCTAACCAAGGCATGAAGCACCAAGCAATGGTAAGCTTCCAGGTCGTAAACCCAATACACCTCAGCACTCAACTTCATACTGAACCCTAAACCCTAAATCCCTAAACCCTAAACCCTGAACCCGACACCCCAACAGCCCTTATCAACGCCAGGGGTCGGATCTTTTTGCGGGTTTAGGGCCTTTCCGGCATCGGTTTCCTCGCTCCTGCGGTTGCTGTTCGGAGCTTGCAGGCTCGCTTTGGGGGTTTGGGGGGGTTGGTAGGCTTTAGGGTCTTAGGGCTTAGGGATTCAGGGTTTAGGGGTTCAGGGATTTAAGGGTTTAGGGTTTAGGGAGTATAGGGTTTAGGGAGTTTAGGGTTTTGGGGCTTAGGGGTTTAGGGTTTAGGGGTTTAAGGCTTAGGGGTGTAGGGTTTAGGGTCTTGGGGCGTAGGACGTGGATGGGGCTTGGGATTCAGGCTTTGATCCTGAAACGAAAAGCCTTGACACAAGAACGGAAGCTCTTAAACCTGCTAAAGAACATCCGCCTTAAACTCGAATCTCTGACACACCCTATACTTGGATGTTCATGAGTAGATATAAGTGGGGTTATAGGTAAGGTTACTATAGTTCTAACCCATATTAGGGGACTTATGACCATACTTACAACTACCCATGAACCTCCAAGTAGAACCCCTTCTTGTAAGGACACGGGTGCCTCCGTCGCGGCTGCTGATCTTCAACTTCTCTGACTCTCTGTGTGAAAATCTGGGGGTAGGGGATTTCGGGAGTTAAGGTTTCGGGGTTCAGGGGTTTTGGGGTTGAGGGATTGGAAACTTAAGGTTTAGGGGTTACTTGCGTTGGGTTCAGGGGTTTTGGGGTTCAGGGATTCGGAATTTAAGGCTTAGGGGTTACTTGTTCGGGGGTTTGGGGTTTAGGGTTCAGGGATTGGGATTTTTTCAAGGTTTAGGGGTTACTTGTTAGGGGTTTAGGGCTTCGGGATTAGAGTTTAATTCGGGTTTCGGGTTGAGGGCTAACAGCCTTGAGGATTCTAAGGGGTGCACCCAAGACGAGGTCTCTTCGCCATGTCTACGGTGTCCCTTGCGGCTAGGGTTTGGGGATTCCACGAAGGTCGCTTCTGCACTAAACCCCCAAACCCCACAGCCACCCCAAAAGGTTGACGCATTGGAAGGGACCGGGCCCCACAAATCCCAAGACCCTGAGCCTCACCGGAGGTCTGGATCCCGGAATCTTTGAAGCAACGCCAGCTTTACCCCCGCAAACTCTAAGCAAACAATCCCTAAACCTGTCTAAACCCTAAACCCTACTTGGAGGTTCATGGGTAGTTATAAGTGGGGTTGCAAGTCATGAGCCATATTAGGGGACTTATAACCATACTTATAACTACCCATGAACTTCCAAGTAGACCTGAACCGTAAACCCTAAACCCTAAACCCCTAAACCCTAAACCGCGGCTCTGCACTCCCAGGATGGCTGGGCACCACTTTGCCATTTCCTGGGAAGACCCATTCCGGAGGAGCCCTTCCCGTACACGGACAAGTTCAACAAGGAGAGTCCGAAGCCTTAAAGCCCAAATCCGGAGCTCTTATGATCAAGGAGTAAGAAGGACAGTAGTATCAATGGTAAAAGCAATGACAATACAAATAATAATGGCACTGAAGCGAAGAAAACGACAATGATACTGCGAAACAACTGCAGTCACCAGCATCATCACCACGATGCTGGTAGTAGGAGTCGTCGTCGTGGTACAGGTCCTGGTGCTGGTGCTGGTGCCGGTGCCGGTGCCGGTGCCGGTGCCGGTGCCGGTGCCGGTGCTGCTGCTGCCGCTGCTACTGCTGCTGGTGCTGCTGCAACTGGTGGTGCTGTTGCGGGTAATGGTTGTGATCGTCATTGCGGCGGCGGCGGTGGTGGTGGTGGTGGTGGTGGCGGTGGTGGTGGTCGTGGGTCGTGGTCGTGACCGCGGTCGTCGTACTCGTGGTAGAAGATTTAGTGGTCGTAGTGTAGTAGTAGCAGTAGTGGTAGCAGTAGTAGTAGTAGTAGTAGTAGTAGTAGAGGTCGTCGTCGTCGTCGTAGTAGTAGTGGTAGTGGTAGTGGTAGTGGTAGTGGCAGTCGGGGTAGTGGTAGTAGTAGCAGTACAGTTGTAGTAGTGGCAGTGGTGGTGGTAGTAGTAGTAGTAGTAGAAGAAGCAGTACCAGAACCAGCACCAGTACCAGTAGTAGCTGCAGTAGTAGCAGTAGCAGTGGAAGTAGTAGCAGTAGTAGCAGCAGCAGCAGCAGTAGTAGTGCTACTGGCAGCAGTATTAGTAGCAGAAGCAGTAGCGGTAGCAGTAGGATAGTAATCGTCGTCGTCGTCTGTGCCTCGGATTAGTCTAGACATTCTTAGGCTTCAGGGGTCACGTCATCCGCCGAGGCTGCAAGGTGATGATGTCCACAGCGGCTTCAACTGTAGAAAGGGTGTGGGGCTTGCTTGAAATCTGATTCAAGAAGGGTGGCGACGATCCAGCGGGTCTGAAAGTAGATTCAGATGCTTTCATGAGAGATGCGAAGGGCAATGATGATTGTTTCTTGGAACTCTGCGGCGTTGCTCCAACGAAGGATAATAACTGCAAGAGCTTCAATTGGCAGTCCGCAGAAGGCTCTGAACCCCTAGGCCCTGAGCCCAAACACCCGAAAACATCGCCTGTGTCCACAAGCCGAAGCCTCACCTCCAAAGTGGAGGATACACCGGATGTGGAAGCATTGTCGACCAGCTTCCTACAAGACGGCATCGAGCTTCTTCCCACTCCGCGTGGTAGTGAGCTGTAGGCCATCAGCTAGTCCAGCCCTGCCGCCGAAGTTGTTTGAAGACTTGGGGATACGTTAGGTCAAATGTTTAGTGCATACTCGTTGGCTTTGCTTCTGCAGCTTGTAGACATCCTCCTTTCGGAGAATTCTCGGCAGCGGCTTACTCTAGTCTAGTCTTCGTGGTACCCCCAGCCCCGAGAACCCAGCACGCTCCCAAAAAACCAAGCACCACGCGAGCTGCAGTTCTGCTGCCGGCTGTGAGCTCCTGTAAGAGGGCCCTGCGCCGTCCGAAAAAAATTAGGGCTCAGGCTCTAGGGCTTCGGGCTGTGAGGTTTTCGGCTGTGGGATAGAAAAATCTTCGGAAGCAGAATCACGGGAATGATACAGATACATATATATATATATTAGTAGTGGTGGGAGGAGGAGTGGCATAAACATAAGTGTCGTCGTACTTAGTCTTTGGGCATTCCCTGCTGCAACAGTGCAGTTGAGAGTCAGGGCAATAGATAGTAAAAATACCGACGAGTACACTGGAGATTATGGGCTTCGGGGTTTCAGACCTTTCGATTTTGGGGTTTCGCTGGTTTCTACCATTCCTGCTACTAATATACTAATAGTAATGATAGTAATAATATTAATAATCATAATAATAATAACAATTATAATACTAATACTACTTTACTAATACTAATAATAATGATAATAATAATACTCCTGCTGCTGCTGCTGCTGCTGCTGTTGCTGCCTGCTGCTGCTGCTGCTACTACTGTTGCCAACAGTTGCTACAACAAGCAGCAGCACAGGCAGTTTTGTGTCCGCACCGCAGATGGCGTCGTAGTAGTCATCGTCGTATTAGAGCAGGGAGAGCAGCAGAAGTGGCAGTTTGAGGGGTGGGACGTTCGGTACGAAGGCTTGCAGAAGTGCGAAAACGGTTCCGAATATACGTCCTTGTCTGTGCCCTGCAAAATTTCACGACAGGCTGCAAGAGAGTTAGAGGGTGCTGAAGAGCGTCATAGATGCAACAAGCTTTCATCACCCCAGTTCACTCACGACTTTGCAAACCCATGGCTGAGCAACTTAGCAAAAGCAATCCATATCACTTGCTCCACTAGTCATGTTCATGAAGCCCATGGATGTTGCCGAAACTCTGCTCGCGGCGTAGTTAGGAGCATGGCAGAAGGCTCGCAGTTCGTGCGCCTCTTGATGGCACTGGAGGGCAGTTCCGTGTCTCAGAGAGCCAAGTACCCATACCCCATGTCAAGTACATGCCTTAAGCCATAGAAGAGGGATCCCCATGAGGACGACGACCACGACAACTACAGGAGACCACCAGGAGAATTCAGGAGGCCAGCAACAGACCACCAGAAGAGCACGAGGAGACCACCAAAATCGTTTGGTTTAGGGGTTCAGGGTGTAGGGGGTTTAGGGGGTTTAGGGGGTTTAGGGTTTGCCCAAAGTACTGCCGCATTCAGGGCCATGCCCCGAAGGCTTTTTTAGAAGGAATCGAGAGCAGAGTGCAAATGCTTCCCTCCCAAGTAGATACTGGCAGATCCAGGACCAGGACCAGTGCGAGCCTGGTCTCCCCCCAAGTAATGGCGGGATTCGAGACCACTATGCTTATGTTTCCCCCCCCCCGCCCCGGTGGCTGGCGGCATCCACAGTTACAAAGATGCCCCACAACCTTTCCCCTGAGCACTACTGCAATTCAAGGTTTTTGTACAGCAAAATTTTAGTTTTGTTTGGGTGAATCCTGCTATGTGGGCCGCATGACGACGTGAATTCGCTGTTAAACAACAGGACGCCGCAGTGCAAAGTATGCACCGCACCGAAGCGGGAGACAGCGCCGGATCCTGTTTTAATAATTTAGGACGCTGGTACCAGATATGTAGTGCATCCTGTAAATAAAGAATAAGACGCAGGGAGCGAATTTGGCCCACCTCCCCGCAGCGTTCGGCCACCTCCTCCTGATATAATCTGTACGCAAGAAGCCTATAGTGTTACCACGCTGTTTGGGGAAGCATGTTGCTTCAATCATCGCAACGGCAGACGCAGGAGTAGTCATACTGCGAATAGAACAGGAGTATATAGGGACTATAAGGGATACTGTGACTGTGACTACTTATTCCGGCTCCAATATTCAGTGTTTTTGGATATGGCTTTCATGCATCCGCTAGGATGGTGAAGACCTCGTGCCGTCAAGGTTTAGGCACCAGGGTCTTGATTTCCAGGGTTGCGGTACTGTGTTCAAAGTGTCTGTACTGCTGCACCTGCTTCCCATCAGTTCGCAGCCGTATTTCTGCACAGTGCTTGCATGCCTAACACTGAGAGCAGTGCAGTCAACTCTTGCTTTAGATAGTCAGAATCCGCACAGCGTAAGATCGTTTGCCTCATCCCCTACCCCCCGACCCCAAAGCCGTCATGCCAAAACCCCACCAGGCCCCACCATAAAAGCAGCAACAAAAAGGGAGATAATTCAACCCTGGGTTTAGGGCTTAGGCGACACAGCCTGGTTTCTTGTTAACGGATTTTATTCAAGTTACCATAATGGGGATCTACAGTAAATAGTGTGGTTTCTTTATTATGGTAGCTTAAATTACATCCCCTACAGTAGAAGCCCAAAAGTTGGAAACCCCAATGGCCTCAATCCTTAAGAGTAATGTACAGGGAATCTCAGCACCAATTGTCCTTAATCCGGTTTCCAACTTTTTGGGGCTTACTATAACAAGAACCTACAGTTTCCTAAACCCCTAAACCCCTAAACCCTAACCCCCTAAACCCCTAAACCCCTAAACCCTAACCCCCTAAACCCCTAAACCCCCAAAACCCCCAGTTGAGGGACGCCTGCCGTTCTGAAAGGCGTGGTGCCAGGCCCGGCAGGCCCGGCCGAGGATTCGTCGCCCAACACGGGCGACCTTGCTCTTCGGTGGCAACACTGCGTCTCTCTTAAGGCGGTTTAGGGTTTATGGGTTCGTTTTTTCGGATTCTTTCCAGGGTTTTAAAGATTGAGTTCTTCGCGAGAAAATCATCCGAGATCCCTGACCTCCTTGTTTTTTGACTAGGGTCGAGGGGCTTAGAGATGTAGGAGCCAAGGCGATAGGCGGTTTCGAATTTATGCTCTTGCTAGCAGGAGCCAAAGAGACAGGACTTGGAAACGGGATGATTTAGGCCGGCTTCCTCTCTTTTCTGGGCTTGGGGCTGGAGGATCAAGTTGCTTTCTTACCAGTAGAAGCCGGACAGTTGGCACATCGTCATCCTCAGACCCGCAATGTAAGAGGGTTCAGGGTTTATGGTACAAGTATAGAGGGAATTCACGCAACTATGCCTCCCAGCCCATCCATGTTCCAGGCTTGATGAGTTTACTGCAAGTCCTCAGCCCTACAGCGCGTTTAGGGTTTAGGGTTTAGACTGGGCGCCCTCCCAAATCTTCGTCATAGACGGTTGACGCCATTGACGCCACTCTTCCTGTGGAGTTGAAAGTTCATGAATTGCCGCAGGGGGCGAGTTTTCTGATCCTTCTCTAAACCCTAAACCCTAAACCTTAAGCCCTAAACTTTAGAGGAGTTCAGGGGTTCGGAGGGAGGGGAATCTTACAGGACTTCCGAGCCTGCAAAGGTCCCGCAGCCCCAAACTGGGTTCTTGTTAAGGGATTTTATTTAAGTTACCATAATGGGGATCTATAGTAAATAATATGGTTTCTCTATGATGGTAACCTAAATTCAATCCCCTAACAAGAACCAAGAAAACGATAAACCCAGTTGGCCTTAAACCTTACCTTAAACACAAAAGCCTCGTTGCGTTTGCAACGAGAAGTGGGCCAAGGTACAGTTTACGACAGGGCTCCCTGGCTGGTGAGGATGTGGGTGGCGGTCATGACCATTATACCGCTTTTGTGGGTTTTTTTTGCCCTAATCCCTGGGGTTTAGGATTTTAGGTTTTAGGGTAGGGTGTAGGGTTTAGGGCTTAGGGTTTAAAGGGTTTAGGGTGCAAGGCTTCAAGGTTTTGTGGGCTGCCAAACTCTAAACCTTGACTCTAAGCCGAGCACAGAAGTCCCTGAAACATGCCGGTTCAAGGGTGTCGCATTGTAATGGTGTACTGATACGGGTATATGCAGAGACCTCAGACAGAAAATACGGAAAAATGATGCTACGATAAAACATGTTCGAAGCTTCTTCACCATTTTGTTTTTCAGGCAAGGCCACCTCCCGTTTCTTCGTGGTTTCCGGCTTGCGGGTTTGCCAGCCCTTAGTCCTGCTGCGCACGGGGCTTACGACTACTAAACCCTAAACCCCTAAGACCTCAACCAACTCTTAAACCCTAAACCCCAAAGCCCCAAGACCCGAAAGCCTTACGATTAAGATGTATGGCTGGGTTTTTTTCAAGTGCGGTGAGGGCGTAGGCGTAGGAGTCGGGAGGAGGCTTTGGGTGGTCATGCTGGGAACTCTTAGCGACCGTTAGTATAGGAACCTGATTAAGGAAGCCCCGGGTCTTAGTCTTTACTAGTGATCAAAATAGGAAGCCTACTATGTTTGGGGGAAACTAGGGGCAGGGTTTCTTAATCAGGTTCCTACATTATCAGCCCCGGGGCCGAAATTTGAGCTTCACCCCCAAGCTCACACATGCCCAAACTTTACAGTCTCATGGAAACCCCAAGTGGAAGATCGTGATCTCATTCGTCTGCCAGGCGTAGGGTGGAGTTGGGGTTTGGAGTGTAGAAAACCCTACACCCTAAGCCTCAAACTTTATAGATGTCTGCTCATACTTCGTTTTCTGGGTTTGGGGCTTAGGGTTTGGGGTTTTTTCGGAGGACCGGAGACATTTCTTTGGAGGCTGGCAGCTTGGCCCTTCCATTCCCACAAGGTAAAAGTCCCAATTCGGAAGGTTGCGAAACCCCAAACCCTAAACTCTAGACCCTATAGGCCCTAAACCTCTAAACCCTAGATAACCCTAACTCCTAAACCCAAGGGGTTCGGAGGTTTACAGCTTGAAGTTTGGGAAGTGTCTCGACGTACTGGGCGTGCGAGCTGCCTCAGGTTCAGGGTTTAGGTTTTGGGACTGGCCCGCCTTTCAGTGCACCCCAAAATCCAAAAGCCCAAGATCTGTCATGAAGCTAAAAACCCAAAGAGCCAGCGCCCTCCACCCGGGGATTGATCATGAGCCCTGAACCCAAACCCTTAAGCCGAGGATTTATTATGTGGAAGAGGATGAGGAGTTTCTGACCGTGGACATCATGCGGCTGGGAAGCCTCCGAGGGACTGCGACGGTGGACTTCTACACCGACCCTTGCCCTGTCCCCAAGCAGGTTTCACCGCGGTGGTTCGTTTAGTTAAAGCGTAAGAATGTGACTATATTGTGGGCCCAATGGGCACATAGAGCAAAGCTTGCGACGTCGAGCTTTGACCATGGGACCTCAAGTGAGTTTGGGGGTTTTGGGTTTTTGGCCATGCGACTTCAAAAAGGATGCAGGGTCCAGGGCTTGCAAAATGTCTACATCCTAAACCCTGCACCCTAACCCACTTAAACCCTGAACTCTGACCCTACCCCCTAACCTAAGCTGAAGTGAAGCTTTCGTGGTTTCATTCCGTCGTGTCTGAGATCTTCACGTTAGCTCCTAGGTCCTGAATCACAGGAGGTCAAATGCTTGTTTCGTTTTATAGATAGGGTTTAGGGCTCAGAGTTTCATGTAAAAAATCTCATACAGGGTTTGAATCTCAGGACCCCAAACCCTTCAGACCAGAAAACTAGACGGATAGCTCCTCAAGTCTGCAGGCTTGTGATACCTTGCGGCAAGAACAAAGGATCTAACGTCGGAGGCCCCAGACAGCCTGAAGCTCTAGGAGCAAACTGTCTAGGCCCTTATACTCCTGGCTCAGGAATTGCTTTGTGCAGGCTTTGGTAGAAGACGTAATGTAGACGCCTCCTTGGCAAAGCTCTCTCCCTCAACAACGATTATAGTAAATGATTATAGCTGGGATCCTACTCTGAGAGTCTTCATAAAAAGGCGGCGGTATTGATCCGTTGTCTGTATCACTTGACAGCTTCCGACTTTCCGACCGTTGACCTGCATCCCGATCCGGTTTGTCTGGCCAGAACCCTGAACTGAAAACCACCGGAAACAACACTCAACTTTGAAACCCTGAACGCTAAAACCCCTTACACCCTAAAGCTGTACACTCCAAGACCCTGAACCCTAAATTTAAATCCTTACACTCTACAGCCCAAAGCCCTAAGCCAATCCCAGGAAGATGGATCTGCAAAAGCTGGCAAGCAGTACCACACGGCCTCTGGTCAGGTCGAACTTTCAATTCCGTGATACCGTTTGGTTCTGTGGTTTTCAGGGGGATATCAACAGGGTTTTGCAAAGTGTAGAAAGGTTTAAAAGGGTGGTGGTGGTGGTGGTGGTGGCAGCAGCAACCGCAGTAGCAGCTGTCAGGGGTACGGTGACATCGGTCATTGCTCTTTGGTTTTCGTCCGGTGGTTGTCTTCTTATGACCCGCATGGCTCCGCTGACGAAGCACACGAGCTTGTGGCAGTGCACCGAAAAGTAAACCAGGTCTGTTTTCTGCACGACTCATACAATTTGGGGATTTGGGCTTTGAGGTCCAAGGTTCCCAGAGATCTGTCTCACATTCCCTGAACCCGACAGCTCTGCAGGTCGAGTTCAAGGACCGCGAGCATCCCGGCTTTCTTCGTCTTTTCAACCAGACATGCCGAGCCTGTCGAGTTTGGGTTCTTCACGGGTAGCAGTTCCATCGTGTGATATGAATCTTGCCTTTCGAAACCTGGGGTGGAGCAGGGCAGGTGCTTTGGATTTCGACGCCTGCAGGTGCTGCTATTTGGGCTTCGGGCTTCTTCCCATGCAATAACCCAGTGGTGACTCGATTGTCCCGGTGCCTGCTTTGGTTTTCGAAACAAAGTCTAAGGCAAACGAAGGCAGAGGTAAACAACGGAAAGATGCCTCATGTCCGAGTTCATTCCGTAAGAGCCAGGGCGGGCATGTCCCCAAGACTTGGCACGGCTTTAGTAGAGGTGACATATGGGTAGTTCTCTATATTCGGGTCCCTTTTTGGGTCCCCAATATAGTACGGCACCCTTATAAACGGGACCCTAATTTAGAGAACTACCCATATGAATGCAGGTGCAGAAAGCACGAGGTCAGTGTCCCTTCTGGTACTGGGTCGGATCGGCTCCCTTGGTGTTTTTTTTTGAAGTTTGGCGACAAACTCGAAGGAACAGATACCCTAAACCCTAAACCCTAAGTTCTAAATCCTACACCCTCAACGGTAGTTGCTGCACCGGAAAGTTCCTTTGCCTCACGTTCACTTGCAAAAGCAAGCGGAAAGTCTTCGGTTCACCGACATGTCCAAAGCGCCAGAGTCGGCGCAGCTGCTCGGTTTAGGGTTTAGGGTCCGATTCCAGGTGTTTTTCAGGACCTACCTTGCCACAACACCGGCACTCGTACGAGAACCAAGGCTCAGACAAGAACGACACTGAATCCAGATACTAAAGCCCGAACGGCAGCAAGATTGGCAAGATTGACAATACTGCCAGGCGGCTATGAACATTGGTTATTGGTTGCACTCGCGGTGCTTTGCAACTCCTGTCCGACTTAGCTCAAAGCAGCCAATCAGCACTTCGCTGAATGCGCCGTGTTCGAAACAAGAAGAACATGTGCACACCGCTACAAAGTGATTTTGTGCCCCAACCAGACTAACGGTCGTCATCATCGTCTTATCGTCATCCTCATCTCTAGCACTAGCAAGGCAGAAGCCAATCGAGTAACTTCCGATGCCCCAGCACAGGTACCGCCAGTCTATACAGATCCAGACCGTTTCCAGCCCACTTTGGAGTCCAACGCAGCTTTGCCTGCAAGCTCGAAAGGTGGAAGCAGTTTATGGCTGCAGGGGTGTAGGGGTTTATTTAAGGTTTAGGGTTTAGGGTTCATGGTGCATTGAAGGTTTTGCGGTGTAGGGTTCAGGGCTTAGGGCTTAGTGATGGATGAAGATTCAGCAGCCCCAGCCCCCTACACGCTGAAGCAACCTCTGCACAGGCATCCCAAGCCTAAAAATCCCTTAGTCTGAGCTTTCTGCCAACTTCGAGTTCGTAAAGATCCTTCCGACAGGAAATAGCAAATTAACCCCTAAACAACATATTGAAGCTCAATTTCCTACACACTGAAACATGAACTTGAGGAATTGACGCGCTCCTTAAGGAGACTTGCCTCCTAGGTTATCGGGTCACTGGGTCTTGTCATGTAGTGTACAGCCTTAACAAGGAGCACGGGTTTTACGGGAAACCATAGTGTCATATCATGCTTCTAGTATAACGGGCATGTGGTTAGTAGTGCTTCTGACCCATGCAGTAGTCTCCTCTTAACTTGTTATCGGGTCTTATCTAAACCCTGCAGCCAAACTTTTTAGCATATTGCACTTATCAGGGTTCTAGTGGTGCTACCTGAGCTCTAGTCCTACCTACAGCCCAGGCAACGGACGGCAAAGGTTAAGGTTCAAGAGTTGTTGGCTCTGAGGTTTCAAGACCCCCAAACCAAGGCCAGTTTAGCCTAGGGTTTAGGGGTTCAGGGTTTAGACGAAGCTTCTAACCTCCTGAGATCCATACATCCTAAAACCCACCTGAACTCAGTCAGCTGTCAACTCCTAAGTTTTCAACCCTGCGAACCCTGAAGTCCCAAAGCGGCAAGTCCCGAGCTACGTTGGTTTCTGTGAAAACCCTAAACCCTAAACCCCTAAACCCTGAACCCTGAACTCCAACAGTTGCATGAAATGACCCGCAGCTCAGACCCTACTGAAACCCCCAAAGGTCACAACCAAGAGATCTTTAGACCCTAGATCCCGCGAGTCCCTAACGACATTCTGGTAGAGCACCGCGACAACCCTGACGACGGCAGACGACCACGACGACAAGAGTGACAAGAGGGTTTAGGGTTTAGGGTGTAGGGGTTTAAGGTTTAGGGGTTTAGGGTTTAGGGGTTTAGGGTTTAGGGTTTGTGGAGACCACCGGCGACCACCACTACGACGACCAGGAGACCACCCGTAGACCGGGACACCACTGCCAGTGTTCTTCCGTGCACTGGAGGTATTCAACGGGGCCCCACGAGTCCTGTAAGTTTTGGAACATGGGCACAAACATGCACTGAGACACTGGGGGAGAACCCAATCAAAAGAACCTTGTAAAGTCCTTGTAGATGCCGTATGGGATCCTTACGGTAATCCTACTGGCAACCCTTGTAATGCGAACTGAAGAGCAGGCTCGAGTTCAAGATCCACCTGGCGAATCCAACCGGGTGCTCCGTAGGCCGGAAGTCTCCGCGGAGAGGGGAAAGGTGCTTTAGGGTTGAGGCGTGTAAGGATTTAGGGTGTATAGGGTTTAGGGTTCAGGCGTTTAAAGATTTAGGGTGTAGGGGGCTGGGCTATAGGGTTTGTGCCGTATAATACTGTCTTTGCTTCTAATAGAGAAGGCTACGGCTACATGACATTCGAGTCAAGTATTGTCCCTTAAGGTTCCCTCCTCCAGCTATACGAAGATATACCCCAAAACACATTTCGGGTTTCTCAGGTCCCGTCATTATCATTTTTACGGTTGCTGAGGCTGTTGCAAGCTAAACTCTGGCGATATAGGTCCTGCAAGGAAGTTCTAGTGTAGCAGCAGCAATAGCAGCATTTGTAGCTGTCGTAACGAACGAATCAGACGAGCAAGACTGACCCTAAACCCTAAACCCTGACAATAAGTGCAAAGAAAATCAACATGTACAGCCGGAATCTGTGGGGCAATGGCAGCTCGTCGAATGCTATTCACAATGGGACGGCTCCAGTGCCTAGTAGTTAACATTCGCAACCATGCAAAGTAAAGCAGAGAAGAGTGACTGGCATGATACTTCTGGACGCAATACTTCCAGACGCAGGCGCGACAGTCCTGGTGCGAATATCGCCGTGACATCATAGTCGGGCAGTAGTCGTCGTCGTCGTCATGGCACCCGTACTAGCTGACTAGCCTTATTTTGAGGTCATTGACTAGTGCGAACAAGACAAAAAACGTTCAGATGCCACTGGCACTACACGAACTACAAAAATGTCAAGAACAACCACAATGGCAAGTCGCATCCAGACAAGCACTGTGCAAAGTGCCGGTAATGATCGCGGCCTTCATTTCCATGGTGAGTTAGCATAAGCACTAGCAGGAGAGCGAGCATGGCCCTAGCTCGTTCCCGCAACCTGCCAAGTCAAGAACCGCTTCACAGTAGCAGCAGGGACCAGAACAGAGGCATCATCACGTTGCAGTGTTTGGCCTGCAATCAACACATATTGTCACACTCAAGCTTCAGCAAACTATTCACGTGGCCCTGCACCTGTACCATTGCTGATGCTGCGACGACATTGCGCTGCTGGCTGCTGCTGCTAATATAGGGGCCTTAATAATTAGAACAGGGTTGGGGGTATATTATACTATAATTATAATAAGAAACCCCTAAAACCCTATTCTAATTATTAAGGCCCCTACATAGTCGTCACGGTTGTCGGCATCAGTCTTAAAAGCCCCTTGACATCCCCATGTTGGTCCGCAAAAAGGACCCCAAGCCCTGATGAGGCATGCACTTGAGCTCCTGCCGAGTCAAAGTGATTGATGCGGACCCGTTCCCATCGAGCAAATACGGCAACCTGCTCCTGCAACACGGCCTCGATTTCAATGTTCGCCCGAAGCATGAAAGATCAATAAACAAAAACAAGCCACGGCCTTCATTCTTGAGCCTGATTTAATGTAGACGCCAGGTCACTGTGGAGAATATGGGAATGAACAACATGCGCGTCAGAGACCATGAGCTACGATGGTTACACAATTATTGTCAAGAGCCCAGACGAACAGAGAAGCTTGAACAATTAGCTGGATAATTCGCTAGGATTGCATATTCTGTTTATTCTGTTATAAAATACCCCTTGGGTTTTTTGTGTATCCATTCAATCACGCATGTACTGGTCTGCTTTTCCTATGCTCTTACGTCGCAGTACATGCATGACGATATGTGGGTCATAGGAAGCCTATTGCCCATGCCGGAGCTTCAGATGTCATGCTCATAAAGCAGAAGCCAGTGGCAAAAGAATCTAACTTTCCGTGGCACAGGCCTCGTGATCTTAGCCGGTGCCCCCAAAGAGCCTCTTTCCAGCAAACCTGCGCAAACCTTAGCTGACAACGACGACCTGTTGAGCCGAGAAGCTCTCCCGCGTTTGACAAAACTTCGGTGAGGTGGTGTTAGGGGGAGGGGGCTCGTAAGGGTAGAATTTATGTATGTCTCAAAATCCTATGTCAGGGTCCCTTATAAGTTATTAAAACCCTAAACCCTAAAATATTAAGTCCCGTACGTCTGAAGCCGGGGGCTTTCTGCAGGCAAGGTGAGGAAGGCGTGAAGAAGATCCGTTGCTCGGTGGCAACCACCGGACGCTGGGTAAGTCTTTGATGTTTGGGGATGGGGTTTAGGGTTTAGGGTTTAAGGGTTTAGGCTTTAAAGGGGATGCGGGGTGTTGAGCCAGGAAGCTTCGCTTCCCATATTCTGGAGTTCGGACACAGACGTTCCTGAACTTGCGACTCCAAAGTGTGACGTTACTGTATACCCATAGGCCCCTAAGTAGTCCCTTTTTGTGGTTCATATTTAGAATCCTATAAGGTAATCCCAAAACGGAACTACTTAGGGGCCTATGGGTAGATAGTACGGGTCTGAAATATTAGTGTTATTTCCCCGTAGGGTTTGTAGAGTGATAGAACGGTATACCCCACTTCTAGTCCTTCAGGCCCCTGCATTGATTTTCCCTTTGACGGCTTTGGTGTAGTGTGTTGCTAGTTCTGGTCATAGATCCTGATCCTCTAGTATCCTGAGGGACTGGAGATCGGGTTGAGCATCGCGGGGCGAGCGAACCCAATCTGAAACACTGAAACAGCAAACTACACCCTTCAACTCAGTATTCCACGGCTCATGGCCCTCCCAAGCCAAAGGAGATATGCCGCAAAAAGCAAAGGAAAGCTACACCAGGCCCCTAAAGCCTTGACGACTGCGCTACCAGAGGCTCCGCAGCGCGCACCGCAGGATAGCTGGGCTCTCAAAACCCTAAACCCTAAACCCACCCCTAAACCGTAAACCGTGAACCCTACACGAACCCTGACAGTCCTAGGTAGTATTAGGGAGACCCCTTAAAGGGGACCCTTCTGAACCCTACTGCTGGCGCTCTTAAAAGGGATCTTATTGAGAGGGTCTATGTCCCCAAGGGTCCCCCGAATCCTAACTCCCAGACAGGTACCCAGAACCCTTAAAGGAGCCCCATTCTGCTGACGAGCGGCTCAGGTAGGATATGCCTCCTTTGGGAGCAAGTCGGCTGCAGAGCTTTTGACTCAGGGTTACAGTGGCTAACGCCCGCCAGGACATGTCTCTTCAGCGTTTGGGTAGGGCTTAGGGAGTGTAGGGCTCAGGTTTTAGGGGTTTCTGGCTTCAGGCTGTTCTTGGAGGGTCATGGGTCGTTATAAGCAGAGTTATAAGTAGGGTAACTGTAGTTAAGACTCATATTCGGGGACTTATAACCCCACTTATAACTACCCATGAACCTCCAAGTTGAGAGAGTTGACATTACTATGATCTGGAGCTCGTCATGACGAAGGCGGTTTTGGTTTCAGCAGGGGCACGACCCATGAAAATCTAGCCAACTGGTGTTGAAAAGATATAAAGACTTAACAAGTGCATGACCAATTAAAATCTAGCCAACTGGTGTTGAAGAGATATAAGACCCTAAAGTTGTCCATTGTCTTGCATCGAAGCCCAGGTACTGGAAGCTTTGCATACTGCAAGTTCCAGGGATCGGACGCCGCACATTGGCCACCCTGATTCTGGATGAGTTCCGGAGCCTTGGTTGCGAAGATTAAGGACAGTGGGTTGGGGTATCGGGGACTCTAGGCATCCGGCAACTCAACCCTCTGGGCCGTAAATTTAAACCCGCCCTTGTGGCTGTACAGCCTTAGTAGCTGAATGACGACACTTTAAACTTTTTGGGATAATATGATCCCTTATCACACTGAATTTCAGAGACGCATTGTCGGGGCTAGCACGAAACGGGGGGAGGTCCCTTTCATCTTTCAGAAAGTGTACATGTTTTTGGTGCTTATGAACTCGGCAACTAAGCAGCTAAGCCCCAAACCCTAAACCCTAAACCGAACCCTAAGAGCGCCACTTCAGGAACGCGAAGCGCCTGACGATTCTGCTCCTTCAGGCACGCATGCCTCGGCGCAGTAGGGAAAAAGGGATCTTTGGGGTTTAGGGGTTAGGGTTTTAGGGTTTAGGGTTTAGGGGGGATCTCTTTCGTCCCGATTTTTTTGGAGGGATCTTCGGGGTTTAGGATTTCAAAATTAGTAGCTGAATGAGTGGACTTAGAAACTGTGTGGGATAATATGATCCCTTATAGAACTGAAAGTGTACACCTTTTTTTTCGCTTATGAGCTCAGCAACTAAGTATCCCTCAGGAGGGTTTAGGTTGTGGGGTGTATGATCGAAGGATAGTTTGGGAGGTGTTTTGGGTGTCCCTTTGTAGGCTCTCTCCTTCTTGAGTTTGAAGCCTAGGGCTATAAGATGCAGAATGTGAGGTAGAGAGTGAGTCAGCAGCCTCCGTTATATCATGGTTTTCAAGATCAAGAACGGGTTGAGTCTGCAGAGCCTTCGAAAGGCAAGGCCTAGGAACCCTGGGCCTTAAACCCTAAATAAGGCTTTTGGTATCTGCAGTGCTGGGGCGGAAGAGGGCTGGATTCCGAGGTTTAGGGTTGAACTAGAGTTCAGGGTTCAGGACTTAGGTTTGAGGCAGGGTTGAGGGTTTCAGGTTGAGGGTTTTCGGGGTTAGGACGGTGCACAGCTGTCAGGTGTACATGGTGGATGTCGTTTTCAATACCGCCGACCCTGAAGCGGAGGCACTCCCGGCTTGTCACTTCCCACTCTGGACCTCCGGATTCTAGTCCTTCAGGGTTTAAGGTTTGTAGGGTTTAGAGTTTAGGGTTTAGGGTTTGCCGTGGAATCAGTGTCTTGCGACAAGATTGTGTCGAGTGCATCGTACTATCGCGACCAGCTGCGAAAGCCTGTCTATAGAGAGCTTTTTCCTTCTTGCTTTCCCTCCCCACGCCGCAGAAGGCGGCCAAGAGCAGGTTTTCCCATTAGAAACCTGATTTTGGAATTGGTGGGCCGGGGGATGGGCTTGGAGTTGGGCTGAGCTGGGCTGGGCGGTGGCTGCTTGGACTGGGCACTGGGCTATTGCGGGTGGCTTTGGGCCGAGTTGATAACCCTGAAACGGACATGTGTTTATAAAAATTGGAAAGGTCCGACCAATGCTCGATTTTTCAATCCGGCCCTTCTTCGCGGCCTGGCCGACACCAACAAGCAATTTCTAGTTATTCATTTATTTTTTATTCATGTATTTATTTATTTATGTCTTGGGTCTAGGGGTTTAGGATCGCCGGTTCGGGTCTTGGGACGGCGGTTCCGGAAGGCACAGTTGCGGACTTCAGGTTGAAGTCCTGAACCAATAAGAGATGGGAGTTTCCGACATTTAGGGGTACCCTACTTTGGGGGTCCTTTAAAAATAAAAATCCTACTATTTAGGGTACTATATTAGGGTCCACTATTTTCGGAAACCCCTAGATGGACGGATAAGTAGCACAGGCCAAATCGTTGCTGAGGCGGAGGGTGTATGGGTTTCGCACCGAAAGACTCAGTGTGCGTGGAGCATGTTCGAGGCTTTAGCCCAACTATTCTTCAGGCCCCCACAGTAGGCCCCATTTCCCTAAACCCTGTAAACTCTCTAAACCCTAAACCCTATAAACCCTGAACCCCTAACAAAGCCATAACAGAAGCAGGCACAGCTCATTGGCTCCTCTCGACAAGAGTCGGCCATCGTAGTGGGGGTCCTGCTCGCGGGGGCCTTGGTGCCGCGATGTGGGCTGCATGGTTTGGAGGTAAGGGTTTAGGGTTTGTTTACGGTTTGGGATCCAGGAATGCAAAGTTTCGGATTCCGGGTGCTGGGTTGTCTCAGGATGAACCCTTGGCCCGATTAGTTCATACGGTTGCTGTGGCGCATCCATATGATACTCTGCGTTTGGAGCACTATCGTGACAGCTGTCTTTCCTTGATACTTTACTGCCCTGTTCCTGAGTTCGGCGTTTGATGAAGGTCGGTACTGGTAACCACACTGCCAGCGCCAAGAACCGTAGTCCGTTATGATGCTGCCTGGTGCCTAGCCAGAACAAAGGCACAAAGTCCTTACAGAAGTAGCGCCAGGCTGCTCCCATGGTTTTAGTGCACATCGCGGCTCTGATCAAGGCGCCGGAGCAGAGGACCTAGGGTTTATAGGGCCCTGACGTCCTTCGTCACGGGTTTGGGGTTGGGGATACAGGGGCTTTGGGCTTCAGGTTAGCAGGAGGTTTCAGGGTCGTCCGGGTTCCTTCAGAGCGCTCAGGGGTGAAGCCTTCATCATGCCTTTAGGGCTGAGTTTCTTTTTTGTCTGTGATCCTGCGGCCTCGTGTCGGAAACACCTCTATCTTTTTGGTCTTTAGTCCTGCAGGTCGGCTTGTTCCAGGTGCAGCTAACTCCAGAAACTCTACTTCCAACCGCCATCAAATCAACCCAAAAGCCACGACCCAAAGGTAGACCCGAAGTACCAGGATCCTCATTTGTAAGGACCTCTAGATCAGTTTCTCCCTGAGTTTTAGAGACCCCAAGATCCGAGCGCGAGGCCAAGATGGACTTGAAGGGGCATTTGCATCTGTTTCTGCAGCGCAGCCTCTTCAGGAAGTACTTGAACTACAGCTTTTTGGCTGAAGTATGAGGTCGGCGACAGGGAGGCAAGCCCAACCCCTAGATAGGATCGAGGGCTCCAGTGTATTTCGGGTTCCTGGAAAGTTCAGGCTGGCTAGCACGGAAGTGGAAGCTCTATGTTGAACTCAGACATGAATCTAAAATCCAAGTCTTCAGAGTGGATGTCAGTTGGGATTTACCAGAGTTTCTGGCCTTAGCTTCAGCCCCTACTGCGGGGACCTCCATAAATAGAATACGGCTTTGGCGGGGTATATTTTAGCAAAGTTATTTTGCGGATCTCTATAGCGAGAATTGAACGAGCAGTGTTAGTAATTTATTGAAACCCCTATAACAACTCCAAAGCACCGAGTTAAAGAGCTGAAGAGCCATGTGCAGACCTTACAGGGTTCAGGGGTTGGGGTTTCGGGCTTAGGGGTTAGGTTTTAGGGTGTTTTTAGGGTTTAGGGATTTAGGGTTTAGGGGTTAGGGTTTATATAGGATTTAGGGCCTTTAGGGTTTAGGGTTTCGAGCTTGGGGGTATCGTTGGTTACGGTTCAGGGAATGGGTTCAGGGGTTAGGGGTTAGGAAGCCGATAAAGCTCATAGGCCGTGGGAACCCCCCCCCCCACTGCTCTTTATAGCCCACAGAAACCTCGGAATACCCAGGCGAAGAGTCACGAAGCTCCGTGCCTCCGGCTCTAATGCAGAGTGCCACCTGCCGCAAGAAAGCTGCGCAGGGTTCTATTTCTGGAATTCCAACGCTTGCATCTTAAGTGCATACTCTAAGTATGCTGAAATGGTGGTCAATTCGGGCTTGGAGGTTTTGGAGGGCTTGGTGCTGAGGTCTTGGAGGGCTTGCAGAGTTCTGGGCTTTTGACGGTTTGCGGCTTTCATCCTAAACCCTCAGCTGATTGTCGTCTCTAGAGGTTGCTGTAGCACAGCGATCACATTGCTTTGCTACTGGAAGACTTACTGGACACCTGTGCTATCGCAAGTTGGAAAGTTGAGACTGTGTTGGGAAGTTATTCTTGTGGTGCTTGGGCATCTAGCTCTGATGAAAATTGGTGCATCTAGCCAACACACAGGCTCCGCCCGGTAGGGAATTCTGGCTACTTCGTGCAGTCGGAAAAGAGCCCAAGGAAAAAACAAAAAAATATAAGAAACTAAACCCTGAGCTGTTTTGAGAAGATCGACGGATCGTTGGATCGAGTCTTTTCCGCAATACGGAATGCAGATGCTTCAGCGGCTTACAGTGGTGTGGCCATGTAGTCACTCCACTGTAAAGCCATAGCATGATAGGCGCAAAGACCCTAGTCTCCTGACCCTACAATCCCCAACTATCCGAATACCTAAGCCCTACACCCTAAACAGCAAGCCTTGCCATCCAACACGAAGGCCATCACCCGAGAATCTGGAACTTTGGCCGCAGATTGGGGAAGGGGTTTGGCCCGATCTTGAGGTGGTAGTGTTGCTGTTGCCGTCGATGACGACGTAGGTTCCTAAAATGATCAAAACAGTGATGATGACTGGGACGAGGGCCCATGACGACTGTGCTTCTTCCCACTGCTACACAAATCGGGAGCATTCGCATTGAGCCATCAAGTTCTGACCTCAATTGCAATCAGGGCGCAGTGCTCTGAGAAGGCTGTTCCATAAAGCTGGAGTGACCTCAAGCGCAAGAGCCTGAGCACTAGAGCCGGCATGAAACGCGATCACTAGGGCCTACACAGCAGCACCCGGCGTGACAAGCTTGGACATCTGAAAAGCGACATGCTCCTCTTGGCAGCAAGTCCTTTATTCCCGTGAAGCCAAGCGCATCTGCCAGAAGAAGCCGCCTCATCCTTCGGCAAAGTTCTGGACCTCGTCGCGATTATGTGTCAGCTCCCTCGGCACCAAGTATGATGTCATGGGGAAACGGCAGTGTTAATAGCAACAACTTCAGAAAGCAAAACCCAATTGCCAATGGCTGAAGGGCCTCCGGGAAGAGAGAGGAGCAGATGCTTTTGTCTTGGTTGAGGATTCGGAAACCCTCAACCCTAAACCCTAGGCTCACTCGATCTTGTGGATGCCTTTCAGGCCGGTGTAGGGCCACTGGGGCTTGGCTAAGGAGGGAGCTGTGCACAGAAGACCTTCCCGTGAAATATCAAGTTGAATAGGACTTAGGGTTTAGGGTTTAGGGAACAACCCACATGCATGCTTCACACGGAATCTCACACGCTTTCACTAGGCTTCAGCCATCTACGGATTCTACAGATTCGACTCCAACGGGTTTCTGCTATGCTTCCACACTTCCGAAGCCCCTAAGGCTCGTGATCTTCGCCTACTTCACCATCATGGAGAACCCGACAGCAATGATCTTCATCTTGGCAATGCCCTGCAGCATGCTTCTCTATTTCACCTTGGTCAGCTTGACACGCGGCTGCAACGCTGTTTGGGGTAGAAGGCGCTGTGGTCTATCATGATTGTGGCCGAAAAAAAAGAGCACCTAAGCAGCCCACCTAAGCAGCCTAAGCCGCAACAGCTGTTGAAACCCACACCCTTGAAGGGCGAATACCTTCAAAAGTGCAGGGTTTAGCTGCTTGCCGGGCTCCTGTATGATTCAGACAATCGACCCAAAGATCTTCCAAAGCTTGACTTGAGTCATTTTTCTGTCTGCTTCCCTCCCTACCTGGTCCCCTGATTTTTACGTAGTAAACCCCAAACCCTAAAGCGCAAAGCCGAAGTCTGCAACATGTTGGGGCCCGGCACTTTTGGGAGTCCCGTGTTGGGCTGGGGACATCGGGTTCAGGGCTTGAGATTTGGGTTCCGGGGTCCTGGAGTCCGCGTTTGGATTCAGATTCATGGCTTCAGGTTTGAGGCTTGAGAGTTATAAGAGTATAACAGCATTACGGTGTTGACATCATGGTGTTTACTGTTACATGCGATTACCTTTGGTATAATAATTCTGAACTCCTTGAAGCCCAATCTATCCAGGGGAAACACCCCGAATCTCAAGCCCTTGCCTCTCGCCCACCTGCATTGCGTTCGTCTGAGGTGCCGTGGAGAGCGTGACCAGTGGAAGGACAAGCGCTTTCAAGGCTAAACCCTAAACCCCTAAACCCTAGACCCTAGCCTATAACTCAAAACCCTAAACCCCTAAACCCCTAAACCCGAAACCCCTAAACCCCTAAACCTCTAAACCCCCTAAACCCCTAAACCCCTACACCCTAAACATCTCCTCCACTAGGACTCAGGACGCGAGGGTGCGAAGGGTTCGAAGCCCACATTTACCTGGATCTCAGACTCGAGCCTTCCACAGGACTCTGTCATCGACACTCCGACGATCCCATGCAGTCTATCCTCACCCCAACCCCAAAATGGGGTCAGGGTAGACAGCATGGGATTGTCGAGTTTAGGGTTTAGGGTTTAGGGTTCACCCCAAAAGCCGAGGCTGCATTCCTAATCTAGCTACTTTCGGTTGGACGTCTGATTCGAGTTGGCGTCGCTTCCTGAGCCCTGCTGCCAGGAGATCGAAGACCAAATGCTGTTTTTAGTGGATGAGGCCTGAACCTAGAGTTCAGCAAGAATCTAGTTACATATGTCCAACTGACTTACACATCTGTTTTTCATATATATATATATGTATATATGTGTGTATACATATTATGTATGATTTGGAAATGTTCCAAAAAGATAGATCGACAGCTTAGATAGGCCGGTCGATAGAGAAAATCATAGGTCTTATAAGTAGGTACATGAATAAGTGGCTAGGTTTAGAGACAGGCACGCAGGTATGTAGATAGGTTGGCTGGTTCTATCGATGTACTTTTTCTTGCTCAGTGTAGGGAATGCCATGCTAACTGAAACACATGATGATTGTTTGTGCAAGCATGCATGGTTTCATGCATGTTTGCACAAGCTATTGAGCACATACCCGTGGAAGAAGAACATACTCGTCGAGTTTCTGTGTGCGTGCGCGTGTATTGTACCTCGTGCTGGTTGTTTCGCGTTCTGGGTATGGACGTTGCCAGAGATTTTTTTGTGCTACGGGGGCGCCCAAGCAAGGTGTCATGGGGTTTAGAAACCGGCCCTGATAGAACGCCTTGTATAGAACCCGTGTACCGAGCTTTGTACTAAGCCCTATAGTCGCCCTTATGGAACCACGGAGCCCCGCCTTTCGCCGTGGCGTCGGGACCCATTCAGGAGTGATCACGAGAGCCTCGGAAGCCGCAGGGGTGGCATTCTCGTGGTACTCGTAGGATTTAGCGTTTTGGGTTCAAGGGTCTACAGGTCTTGAAAAGACGACTCCAGCTCTCTGCACTCGAACAGAAGCTTACAGAGCTCCCACCCCAAAGCCAGCGCCAAGCTGTAGGCCCGGAAACCCTGAACCCTAAACCCTGAATCCCGTCGGACGACGAGAGGTATGCCACCGATATCGGCTGGTGGCAGATTACTTTCAGAGGCCCGGTCGCGCTCACACACGTGTCGACACATGCTCATAGAGCCGTAAGTAGTAATGGCAAGGGCATACCTGGACCCCTAAAAGTATGTAGAATAATAGCCCTTATTAGAGGTGTAGGGCCACTATTTTACCTACTTTAGGGGGCGTAGGTACGCATGAAGAATGTGTGCATAAGTGAGTTGCAGATGCATGCATGCGATGCATGCATGTATACATACATACGGTTACTGGTTTGCGTACATCGGTGCCTGTATGTGTATATATATATATACACAGACACACATTTGTCAGTACGTGTGTGCGTCTGTGTGTTTGTGTTTATTGGAGGTTGAGCGGTCGTAAGTGTCTTGCGCAGTCCCTTGGCGTCCAGAGTCGTCCAGCACGTACCTGACCACCCCAAGACTGACAGTCCAAGTGTACAAGGGGGGTATGTTTCCCCTCAGACAGATAGATAGGCGGAAAGGCAGACAGAGGCAGAGATAGAGATGGTGACAGAGACGGAGACAGCGACAGACATGTGCAAGTAGTTACTTAGGTATGTGCTTGTATACATGTGTATGTATATATATGCACACACACACTGCTTTATTTACCTATATATATATATGCACACATATACGTAGTTGTTTATTTAAAATAACCTTTTTATGTATATTTAGCTGTTTATACACATCGTGGTACAGTTCCGTCTCCTCCTGTTCCCCCGTAGAAAAGGTGGACAGTTTCCTTCGTGAAGGTTCCTGTACTCCCAGGTAGGAGTGGGGAGACCCCTTAAACGGGACCCTTCTGAACCCTGCCTACGGCTCTCCTAAAAGGGAGCTTCTTCAGAGAGTTGTTATCCCCAAGGGTCCCCCTCATCCAAACCCCACATGTACTACAAAAGGAGCCAACTTTCAGTCGCAGGCCTCAGATGAACGAGGAGTTCCAGAGCCTTGGCTGACGGCTGCATACGTTTTGATGACGTAAATCCTGCATTACCCATAATAAGGAAGATACCATAACCCCCAGAGTTTAAGGTCCTTCAGGTAGTGCAGGATTTATATCATCAACAGTATGAAGCTTATGCAGACCTTGGAGAGGCTAGGGTTCAGGGGCTTAGGAATTTGGGCATGCTGATTAGCCACGCCTCCCCCCCCCTCATCTCTTCCCAGGCATATATGGCTAGGCTTCCGGGGTCTTCTACAGTTAAGATGCTCTACAGTTTCAGGGTTCTGTGTGTTGGGATGGCCTGCCTCGGGGACAGCACTTCTCCCACGAGCGAGCACGTCCTGTTGTGGTGGCTCCTCTTCCGGCTGGTGAACTGTGAATTATGTTTCATTGACCTGCTCTTTGTTACTACACAGTCGCACAATTGCGGCCCCCGCTGAAGCTACACATCGGAAACCACACGCCCAAGCTCAGTTACAGCCATTAATACTTTTCAAGTCTTTCCATGTCCTCAAAACCTGCTTTGTAAACAGCCCCAAACCCGGAACCCCAAGCGCCAAAAAGTTTCCGGAAGCACTCCACCGTCAGACGCCTCCAGGAAGACCAGCGGCGACCTTAGGCGCGAGATGGTTCCGGACCGACGCCTCTGATTGATGCTGTCCCAGAGAGCCCAAAACCCCTTAATTAAGGAATATACCTTCAATCATAACATTAAGGCCCCTATAATTTAAGGCATATTCCTTAATTAAGGGGTATTTGGTTCTCTGGGGTCGGGGAAGGGGTTTCTGCAGGGAGGACAGTTTTAAGTCGGCTCTATAAACCTAGGCTTCCAAGGACGTTATAGTTAGGGCCCTGGACCCCTTAAGGACCCAATAACAAGGTCCCTGGAAGCCTAGGGTAATACTCAATATGATGCACCCGGAGATAAAACAGCTACAAAGCCACTAATGTCAATCATGTACAAGTATGTGCTTGGAAGACATGACATCAGAGAGCAGCAAGCGCTGTAAGCCTGTGTTTTCACGTCGCGGCTTTTTATGTGAAATGGGAATGTCAGAAAATTAGGAAGCCTGACAGAAGACCCTAAATACTCGGATCCGAACATTAGAAGCATTATCAGGCTCAAGGGCTACTGTTGGGTTTTTATAATAAGGTTACTACAAGCTTATTACGTGATTACGTTGCGATTCCTATTATATGGTTACTATGAGGCTACTTATTTAGGGAACTAGTCTTAGGGAGCAGCCAAGAGGTTATTTAGAACCCTACACCCTAAACCCTAAACCGTGAGAACCCTTCGCTGTGGCAGGACCACCTCAGAGATGCTAACGACAACATGTTCCCAAAGTGGTGGCTTGGAGTAGGGTTTCGAATTTAGGGGGATTTGGGTTTAGGGTTTAGGGTTTAGGGAATTTTAGGGGATCAGGGACAAGCGTTTAGGTTTAGAGCTTCGGGACATGAATTAGAGCTCCGGCATCGCGGTTGTTGCAATCTGTGCTGATTTGTGCTGTGCTATGTCAATGAAAACCACAACTGCAGACCTCGCCGTGCTCAGGCTGGGCCCCTTTTTCATGGGCCTCTACGTGTCGATCGAGGCGTGGGGCAGAAGCTGCACTCGGTCCATAGCGAGGGCAAGAGGCCACAGGAACGGAGACCTCAGGTTTAGGGGTTCAGGGGGTTTCGCGACTTAGTAGCTGAATGACTACACTTTAGACTTTTTGGGATAGTATGATCCCTTAAACTTTTCTGTGCTTATGAACTCGGCAACTAAGGCGATTTAGGGGTTCACGGAGGGGTTTGGGTTCACGAGGCTAAAGAGGTTCAGGGTTTGGGAGTTTAGTGCAGCCAGGCCAGACCGCCAGGTGTGGCCACATCGAGTCAGTCAGGTCGTGCAGGTAATTATAGGGGTCTAAGGATTTGGCAGTGACAGTATTCATCTGTATAGGCATTACATACGGTTGATGATACAAACCCTGCATTACCCATAGTAAGGAAAATACGTAATTCCCGTAGCTTAGGGTCCTTAGGGTAATTCAGGATTT